TATATATTTTTTTTTTTAATATTTAATATTTTGTAATATATTGTATTAATAGAAAATGTTATTTTTGAATTTAATAACACAAAGTGTATATATTTTTGTTGTTGTTAAAATTGTTTATTTAATTTAAATTAGCATAAATGTAATGCACTATACTACCATAATATAAATTATTTTTTTCATTAGAGTAATGTAGTGTGAAAATGTGCAGAAAAATCCGTATGGTTCATTTTCATTATATAAAATATATTTTTTCTTTCAATTTTGGGGTGAAATATAACCCACACATATTCTTGACAGATTCATGCAATTACACTATAATGAGGCAGACATTTATTTCAGAAACAGAGTTGTATGACTGAGTGTGCTGTTTTGTTTTGAACTTTTTAATGAGGATGTATTTTCTGCACTTTTAGCCAAAATTAACGACATTGTGATGGCTACCTATCGGATACTGAAAAACAAGCTGCCCATCACGTTACAAAGCATGTCTTTATATCTGGCCAATAAAGACACAGAGTTCATCCTGTTCAAGCCCGTCAGGGTGAGCATCACACCCAACATCTGCCTGTGTTGATTCATTTCAGCTCTTCATATTATTTACAAGTCTGTTTTTCTTAAACCTAATCATAAAATACTAATTATCTAATCAAGTCTGGGTTTTTAATTGACAATTTGCTAAGCTCTGCTCCATTGTACAGAACATCCCATAGAAATTAAGTTGATATTTTCAGCCAGTGTTATTTAATATCATTACTATAATGTCTTAATATTTAATATTAATAGTGTGTACTAGTACGTATTCATTATTAGCATTTATTAATATTAAATATTATTAATAATTAGGGATGCACGATATTGGATTTTTGCCGATATCCAATATGCCGATATTTTTCAGCTCATTTTTGCCGATATCCGATATGCCGATATTTTTCAGCTCGTTTTTGCCGATATCCTATATGCCGATATTTTTTAGCTCATTTTTGCCAATATCCAATTTTTTTTTTAAGCTCGTTTGCCGATATCCTATATGCCGATATTTTCCAGCTCATTTTGGCCGATGCCGATACCGATATATTTCCTTTTGTTTGAAAACAACACCCAACTCTCTCCTGTGCATAGATTATAAACAAATTTAAAAAAAAAAAATTGTTAGTTTAAAAAAAAAAAAAAAAAATTACTTTTGAGAATTAAATAAACAACAGTTCTTTTATAATGAGAGTACATTGAACACTTTGAAAATAACTATAAAGCAATCCTTAACATTTTATTTGAATATTTAACATTTGTAGATGGTCTAAAGCAAAAGAGTTGTACACATTCTGAAAATCTTTTAGAGCTCCTTGTATTTAAGTTTTCATAATCCGTCTGAAGAAAAAAAAACATTACACATTAATGAATAAATCTGTATATATATATAAATTATTTAATTTACAAGTGTCTTGTTTGTGATTTTTATTCATGTAAGCTATAGCTTCTGACCTTTAAATCAAACTATACTCGTGATTTTATGACATCAATTACTGCTTTATTTCATCAGAAGAACAATCTTAATGTTATCTGTGTATTTTACTTTCATTTTATAACAAGTAGGCCAACAGTGCCCCCTAAGTAAATAAAAGGCCTTACCGGATGGGCATTAGGACCCGGGGGAGGCTGTTGCTGCTGCTGCTGCACACACTAGTAACTGTCGACTCTTTCGCACACCGGACACATCATTCTGTACTCGCATTATTACTGCTTTATTTAATCAGAAACACAATCTTAATGTTATCTGTGTATTTTACTTTCATTTTATAACAAGTAGGCCAACAGTGCCCCCTAAGTAAATAAAAGGCCTTACCGGATGGGCATTAGGACCCGGGGGAGGCTGTTGCTGCTGCTGCTGCACACACTAGTAACTGTCGACTCTTTCGCACACCGGACACATCATTCTGTACTCGCATTCTCAGATTAAATGCTCAAAACAGTGAATCTAATCATCATTCAGGAAAAAGTTAGCTTCAAGAATGACCACACTGCTGACGTGATCTAATCGCTAGCACACCCTGAGCACATGTGAGTTACTCATCTTATCGGAATGGCATATCGGCATAATTTTTCATAACGGGCTGATGCCGATATTTGCATTTTAAGCCATTATCGGCCGATTTCGATAGCGTTCTGATAATATCGTGCATCCCTATTAATAATATTAATATTTTGAATTCGTTTTAAAAACTAAAATAATTTTAACATTAACTTTTTAGTAATTTTGTTGTGTGATTTAATTGTTTTCTTATTTTTATTTCAGTTTTAGTAATTTTAGTACTTCAAATAAAAAAATATTAGAAATTTATTTATTTTTTAGAAAGTTGTTTTTTTATCTTCTATTTTAGTTGTTTTAATGTTTATTTCAACTAATGAATTTTTTTTGTATTTTTAGTTTTAGGCGTAATTACCGATAACAACACTGTTTTCAGCGTAAAATTCAGTTTAAATCCGAAAACACACCGATCGTTCATAGACTTCCTTGAGAATAGAGTGAAAACTCAAAACGTTTGTCTTATAGAATTGGTCAGTAACTTTTTAAGGCGGGGCTAAGCAAAGGGTCAGTTGCCCATAATGCAATACTCATGCAGCAGGATAATGACAAGAAAAGCTGCACTGAATCTGATCAATCACATGCCGTTTCAGAACAACATCCATCAGGTGTTCCAGAGACTGCATGCCTTACTGCAGGAGGAGTACAGCGGCGAGGACCTGCAGATCATCGCCTGTCCCTCCATGGAGCAGGTGCTTATCCAGCCCGGCTAACACGCACTAAGAACGTTACGAAAACGTTATTTCTGAATAATGTTCAAAACATTCTGTTACATGTTTTTTCTTGGTTATGTGAACCTTAGAGAAAACATTAAAGGCAGGGTAGGTGATTTGTGATTTGGTTCAAAAACATTTTTTGTTACGCTTGTTGAAAGTCTCGATACAATCACATCCCGATAGCAATCACTAAGCTAAGTGGTCTAAATATATGTATATGTATTTATATTGTCTAGGGCTGAAACGATTAGTCAACTTTATCGACAACAAAAAAATTGCAGACAGATATTATTGTTGTTGCGTAGCCGTTTGATCTAATATCAGTCCCTCCAGAATTTAGTGAATTTTTTTTGTGATTTTCATCAAAATGTCTGATTTTGTGGTGGTAATTTTCAAAAGTTTGCCTTTTTTTTTTACTGATAATTTTGTTGTTTTTTTTCGTGAAACCTTGATTTTTGCAATTATTTTGCGGTGAAATGGCGAATTCGAAAATAATTGCAAAAATCAAGGTTTCACGAAAAAACAACTAAATTATCAGTTACTAAAATTATCTAAATTACTAAATTATCATCCGCGATCGCTGAATCCAATGCAAAATCAGCAACATGTCGCATTTTTAGGATTCAGCGATCGCGGAATCGCGAAAAACTGGAGGGTCTGTCATATGACCTAATGTAAGAGCCTGCAGTAACGCAGTTTGACCAGTGTGGCGCTGTAGCGCAAGACTGTAATTCAGCTCTCCCGGATGAAATTCAAGAGAAGACAAGGGGCTTAAGAGAGTCTGAGTGTAAATGCAACCGAACCAGACGCTGCTGAGAGCGCCGTTTAGATGAATATGTAAATATGTGCTGCGCGATTTCCTTCTCCATAACGAAATAAACACAACAAAAATGAGAGTGGTGAGAAAACAGCAGTTAAGAAAGCATCTGATTGTAGCGATGTGGATATTTTTAAACCCACTCCAGTCACGTCTAGTCACATCACGTTCGTTTATACAATAGATTGATTTAAAGCACGCAGCTTTGCAGTATTAAACATGTCGATTTCAGTTAGAATTACAGCTTGAATTTCTCTTATTGAGCAGCTCTCCAGTGTAGAGCTAGCTAATGATAGAAGCGTTTTATTAGTGAATGCATGAATAAATAAATCATATTATTACATTAAAGTGATCATTTGGTTTGCATAGATTGAAGCTTGATCTAGCTCAGGACTGTTTTGATTACTATAACTCTATAATAATGTTTTGAATAAAATAATTTATCCAAAAATAAACTGGATGAATCACTTACCTTTATTTTGTTCCATGTAAAAAATAATTGTAATTGTACAATAGTAATATAATTGTTTGACACTTTCAGAATCTGAAGTGATGACCTTGTTTTATTCATTAGTTAGAATATGTGTAACCCAATATTTTAACTAATTGTAAAAGCAGAATAATAGAACAATGCCTACTGTTAATTGGTGAAATAATCGGCGATTAATCGTTGTAATAATCGCTAGATTCATCAATTATCAAAATAATCATTTGCTGCAGCACTAATATCGTCTGTGGAAGGCATAGGACCATAAAATGTTCGTCCAATCATATTCCTCGGTCCGAGGGCTACGATTGGCTGTCCTACCTGTCTGTCAGTGTATGTATTTGTATACCTCCGCGCTAGTGTTAATTTCGTTAACGAAAAGTATGACGAAAAATGTTTGTTGACTAGCTTTTTTTCCCATGACTAAGGCGAGATGATGACGAGACGACAATAAGGTCAATAAACGATAACTGTGACTATATCAACATGCAATATCGTTGAAGAAAAAAGACGAGACTAAAATTTATTTTAAAGGTGCTGTATGTAGGATTGACACCGAGTGGTTGAACTAGGTATTGCAGTCCAAATTCAAAATATTGGAGAGGATTTTTTTCACCCGGTCCCTCCTCCTCAGACTTGACGCACACGCAGGTTGCCAGATTGACTACACCAACAACCATCTCTCAAACGCATCTCCAATGTTTATTCTGCTATTATTATACCGTTGTTGATCATAAAGTTTTTTGGATGGATGTCGAGGCTTTTTAGGATGGGAAGAAAGTTATATTTCCCGCTCTGACCCCTTTTGTTTGCAATCTTCAATGACTGAAATGAAATGCGCTGTGTTTCCCGCCAACTGGCAACCCGGTGTGCTGAAATACAATTGGGTTAACTGGCAGTGGGCGGGTTTCACAAACCAAAACAGAGACCGACATTCCGGCCCGGAACGCACATTTTCAAAGGAGAATAACTGACTGTAGCATTGTTTTTCAGATAAACAAATATGTTAACTTGAATTTAATGTTTCTTAAATATCTGCAAACATATTATGGTATTTTTATGCTTTAATAGAGTCAAAAACTTACATACAGCATCTTTAAGAAATAAAAACGATACCAAAATTTCTTTTAATTTTCATAGAAAAAAAAAAAGGACAAAATATTGTTGGACGGCTGTACGCGCCTCTACTACACGAGCTTTCATGTGTGCGGTTGCCAGATATCAAGAGTGCAAATCCCCAAACCAGAGCTTCTATGTTAAAAGGATACATTTTCTGCCCTGTGTTTTGCTTATTTTTTTCAATCTGGCAACCTCGTACTTTATTACGGAAGCGTCGACGATGATCTGAAAACACCACAAACAAATAAGCTGGAGTTCAGTCTGTGTTCCGTCATGAGATCTCGACTGTTTTGTTTGTGTTTCTCGAGCAGCAAATCAGCATATTAGAATGATTTCTGAAGATCATGTGACACTGAAGACTGGAGTAACGATGCTGAAAATTCAACTTTGATCACAGAAATAAATTACATTTTATAATATATTCACATAGAAAACAGCTATTTTAAATAGTAAAAATATTTCACAATATTACACAATAAAATCTTTGACTGGTAGTGTAACTTTGAGAGAATATGATATATAAAGAATGTTTCTGTGGTAATGTTTTGAGAACGATATTAAACATTAAGGGAATGTTCCATTTTATCATTTTGCAAACAGTATCTAGTTAGTAGTAAATTTTAAAAAATGTTACACAAACGTCCAACTAAAATGTTTCAGAAAAATGTTCCATGAACAATGTATTAATAACGTTTTTGTGCAAACGTTTAGAGAACATTATTGAAGACCAGATAACTTTGAACGAATGTTCTGCTAAAATTACTGGAAAAATGTTTGTTCATAACTTTGAGAGAAAATTATTAATAATCATAATGTTTTTGTGCTAATGTTTAGAGAACGTTATCAAGGACCAGATAACTTTGGACAAACTTTCTACTAACATTACTGAAAACATGTTCATAACTTTGAGAGAAAATGATGTATGAATAATGTTATTGTTTTGAGGATGTTATGAAAGAAAGATTTAAACGAACGTTCCGTTAACGTTACTGAAGAACGTTTGTTTAGAACTTTGAGAGAATCTTGCTAGAACATTCTGAGAGCGTTCTCTGTTAGCTGGGAGGGCCTTAAATATCCATTTTATAATCAAAGATGAAATAAGTACATTTGTGCAATAGAAGTTGAATCTTTCTTTGTCTCCTGCCGTCCAGATAAATCTGCTGCTGTCTGTGAAATAGCGCTGGACTCAGTGTACGATGAAGTTCAGACCATGTCAGCGTTGGTGAGAAAGAGCCGGAAAACCTTCCTGCGAGGGCAGAAGATACTGGAGATAAACCCGTCTTTATAATCAAAGACGGTCCATTTCTGAGGCCTGAACACACTAAAGCCGCTCCGCTGCAGTGCTCGAGCTGCTTCTTCTGATTAGCTTTGATACTAAATCAAGTTGTACAGATCTAAATTCTATGAGGACGGGAAACTGCGTCTGTGCTGATGGAGTGAGTTCAGTCACGGTTAACACACATTATCCGCTAGGGGGCGCTGTGTGTGTGTGTTTGAGGCAGATTTCTCAAGGGTAAAAGAGCAGAACTAGATTGATAAGAGAGCAAGTAACTGTGCAGGTGAAGGAAATGATGTGCATAACATTTATTATTTTTAAAGAAATATTTCACTGAGAAATCTGAATTCTGGTATTATTTAGTCACTCTCGTGTCATTTAAAGAGAGAGTTCACCCCAAAATTACAGTTCTGCCATCATTTGCTCACTCTCATGTGGTTCCAAACCTGAATGCAAAAGCTGAACATACAATGGAAGTCAATGGGTACTGAAACGGTTTGATCTTCTTTTGTCTTCTGCAGAAGAAAGAAAGTCAAACAGGTTTAGAACAACATCAGGGGTGAATAAATGATGACGAATTGCATTTTTGGCTGGATTATTCTTTTAAAACCTGCATGCTATCATTTTTTTTTCTTCTGATGAACACCAAAGAGGAGTCTTCATGCTGCTCTTTTACATGCATGTTTATAGTACGTCAAGCTCCAAAAAAGCACCATAAAAACCCCATACAGCGTCCATATGACTGACCATAAGCTGTAATATCTTTGTAAACATCCATGCAGGTTTGGAGTGACATGAGGGTGAGTAAATAACATAATTATCATGTTAGGCTGAATTATTTCTTGAAGTTCCCCTGTATGCATCAGACTAATGCATTTCTTCATTTTCTTCCTTCATTCTGGTGTCTTCAGTTGCATTTTGGGAGTTTAGTTAATCTTCTGTCAAATACATCCTCACTTTTCGAGCTTTTTATACATGCATCTATAAGTTTTATATAACATTGACTTCCTGTTTGACACAAATGACCCTTTTCGGTTTTGTACTGTTGAATTAATGCAAACTGAGCTGAACTGACGCTGAAAGTTTATTGCACGTTTTGCCTGACGCGCGGCGATTTATTCTCATAGTTTTTCTAAATAAATGCACACAAGGATTCACAAATTCTCCAAGTGCAATTTGAAGAAAGGCATGAAGCTTTACAACGTGGAAATGAGATTTAGCCCAATAAACATTGATTAAGACCTTTATAAAAAAAAAAAAAATTGCTCTTTTTTTTTAAAATTTTATATCCATTTTTTTTTAATGGTGCAGCTTTAGGGCTAACATAAATCTTCATTTTCTGGTGCATTATGGGAACGGCATTTCCCTTGCTTCAGTAAGAGCTCAACTCTCTGCCCTTCAACCTCACAGCCGAAGAGAAGCAGCAAAAAGAACTTCGACACTTTCTGAACGCCTTTCATTTCTACCGTTTAACTGCAATAATGCCTCTTACAGTAGCTGATGCTGATTTATGTATCTAATAATTCTGTAAAGCAGAGCTCATTAAACATGCTTGAAGAGCAAACAGGATAGAAAACGTAAAATATTTTGTTAAAAATGTGCATGTTTCTGGATTCAGTTTGAGTAATAGTCTTCATGCTGATGTGAATCCATCAGATAATAAATATTTACAGCAGAAGGCAGCGTTTTATAGATATTTCTTTGGCATTTTATTAGTAGTCATGTTTACTGTTATTGCTCATAATAGTATTAGAGATGTGATGAAACACTAAGTATTAAAGACATGAACGATTCAGCAAATCATATGCTCAAAGGAGGAAAATGTTTCCATGCAATTAGAAGACAACTGTCTTAAATGTTTTGTTGAACCAACTTAAAGGAATAGTTCATCCAAAAATGAAAATGTGATGTTTATCTGCTTACCCCCAGGGCATCCAAGATGTAGGTGACTTTGTTTCTTCAGTAGCACACATTTGATGATTTTTAACTTTAACCGTTGCAGTCTATAAGTCGTATAATGCATGGCAATGGTAACAAAATCTATGAGAGTAAAAAAAACATGCACAGACAAATCCAAATTAAACCCTGCGGCTCGTGACGACACATTGATGTCCTAAGACACGAAACGATCGGTTTGTGCCAGAAACCGAACAGTATTCATATAATTTTTTACCTCTAATACACCACTATGTCCAACTGCCTTGAGCGAGCGTACGGCATCCGGTGCGTGAGGTGTGTACGCGCTCTGGCGTAGTTTACGTTAATGGGTGTGTTGATATCCAGCCGAAGAGCAATCAACCATAACTTCAGGCGAGCAGGCTCAGAAGTTGGGAATACGTGGAAAGTCACCACTCCCGAATGAGTTCGCACGAGAGAACGTAATCTTTTAGTTTTAAGTCGGTTTGAACAATCCGGATAAGCGCAAGTAAGTACCATTTTGATTAGCCGTCGTACCTACAATGACTGTGCACTGTGTAAACAATGAGTGACGTATACGCGCGAGAGAACACTTCCGGCGCTTGCGTAAACTACGCCAGAGCGCGTACACACCTCACGCACCGGATGCCGTGCACACGCCCAAAGACAGTTGGACATAGTGCTGTATTAGAGGTAAAAAATGATATAAATACTGTTCGGTTTCTCGCACAAACCGATCGTTTCGTGTCTTAGGACATCAATGTGTCGTCACGAGCCGCAGGGTTTAATTTGGATTTGTCTGTGCATGTTTTTTTTACTCTCATAGATTTTGTTACCATTGCCATGCATTATACGACTGATAGACTGCAACGGTTAAAGTTAAAAATCATCATATGCGTTCTACTGAAGAAACAAAGTCACCTACATCTTGGATGCCCTGGGGGTAAGCAGATAAACATATCCCTTTAATAGATTAATAATAATACATTTGATTTAAATTACTCAAGGTCACCGTACATCATGAACAATAAATAAAACAGCAATAAATAACAATAAATATTACGGAGATGAAAGTAACAAGACCGGTTATACTATTAATGTGAGCTTCAAATGAAAGAGTGCTGTCAAAGATGACCCCCAAGTTCTTAACCTGGCGAGAAGGAGAAACGGAGGAACCATCAATGGATAAAGAAAAACTACAGGACCTAGAGAGAACAGAGTTAGTGCCTACAAGGAGTACTTCAGTCTTACTGCCATTAAGTTTAAGAAAACTGGCGGAGAACCAGGTTTTTATTTCGTGAAGACAGATAGGTGGAAGAATGGAATCAGGCTTAGTAGATACATAAAGTTGTGTATCATCAGCGTAACAGTGAAATTTAATACCAAATTTAGAAAAGATATTACCAAGTGGGAGAAGATAGATTAGGAACAACAGAGGACCTAGGACAGAACCTTGGGGGACGCCCCAGCTAACAGAAAATGGATGGGAATGAAAACTTTGTAATTGTACGAACTGTGTACGATTGGAAAGGTATGAAGTAAACCAGGCGAGAGGAATACCAGAGATGCCAAGAGCAGATAAACGGTTTAACAAAATATTGTGTGAAATGGTATCAAAAGCTGAACTCAAATCAAGCAAAACAAGAATGGATAAGGACCCACCATCAGCAGCCATTAAAAGATAATTTGTTACTCTCACCAAGGCGGTTTCGGTACTATGCTTGGGACGAAATCCTGACTGAAAACACTCATATAAGTTATTATTACTAAGGTGAGCTTGGACCTGTGCTGCAACTGCTTTTTCAAGAATTTTCGAAATAAAAAGAAGATTTGAAATGGGACGGAAGTTATCTAAATTGTTAGGGTCTGCACCAGGTTTTTTAAGAATTGGGGTTATAGAAGCTATTTTAAAAGATTGACGTTCCCCTGTCAGATAATACGTAAAAATGGCATGTTAAAAACCATTACGTTTATTATCATATAGGGAGGATGTAGTCCCAACACAAAATAATGAAGGCAACTTAAATTATACAAATTTAAGTGGATTGAACATAAAATTAAGTTTAAAATGTTTTTTAGCTCATTTTAGCAAAACAATAAATAACAAAATAATACAAATAAAAACAAAAATAAACTATAATATAAATAATAAAAAACAAACAGCAAAAAAAAAATATTTGTATTATTTTAGTATAATTGAGATACTAATATAATTGTATTAATGTTTTGAATTGGTTTTTATTTTTTATATTTTCCTTTTTCATTTTAAGTTAAAGTTTTAGTACATTAAGTTTGTCTGTATATTTTTTATTTGACAGTAATATTTTTTATATTTTTTTATGTTTTAATTTCTTATGGTTTTAGTTTTATTTTTAGTTTCAGTTAACTATAATAACCCTTGTCTTGAGGAGAAAGTGATCAAATGCATATATATATATATATATATGTGTGTGTGTGTGTGTGTGTGTGTGTGTAATATATTATAAATATTTTATAATTATAATTTTTTATATTTTAATTTTAACTTTAACTTTAAAGTTTTAGAAATGTGTTTGTGACAAGTTTTTATTTTTATAGTTTTTATAAATTTTTATTTCAGTGTTAGTTATTTTAGTATATCAAATTAAACTTATTTTATTTTAGCTAGTTGCCAAGGCAACATTTCTAATTATCATTTAGTTTAATAATTTTCAATATTTAATTTTATTTCAGTTAACTTTTATTGTATTTCAAGGAACACTTTTTTTATGGTTTTAGCTTTAGTTAACTGTAATAACACTAGAGAAAGTGATCAGATGCACCATTTTTTCACCTGCTGGACTATAAAACAGGTAAAAACTAAAAATCCCACAGACACACATTGAAAGAGGAACCCGAGCCACATCTACAGACCAGAAGATCGAAGGACGAGAAGAAAGGTTCGGAAACTGTGAGTTATGAACAGACAAACGCCACGCTCAGTTTCTACAGAAATGAATCCAGTTCTTACAGAGTTCAGTCTCTGATTGCTGATGGAAGCAGCTGTGTGCTGTTTGTTTTGACACTGGCTCAGCTTCTTCAGGTCTGTGATGTGGACAGATGTTCATGCGTCACCTGGGCTCTGTGTAACAGCTGTTGCTCCTGCATGCGCTCGTGCTGAACGAGCCTTTGACACGCCTGAACCTGAGAGCAGATCTCCCACCACATCCTTACTGGAAATCAACCTGGTGTTTCATGCATGGAGGGGAAAACACTGGAAATCATCTGCTGACCGACCGTAGGAGTTCCAGATAAGCTCAAGTTTATTTGCGGGAATACTCTGCCCATAGTTCCACAGAATCACAACAGAAACTCTTTTCTTCATTCCATGGTATATATAAAATGCCAAACTCCATGCTTACTCCAAATCACAAACACGTGACACATCAGTACAGACATCACCGACAAGAACAGGATCACCCAAATATGTCTTAGGCGGATCCACATACAAAGAATGCTTCTTGTCTTCTGTCGCAGAGATATTCAAAGTTAACTTACAATTAGGGG